GTCTCATCAATAAGAAGAATATCATCAGCAAAAAGCATACACCAAGGTACATCCTCTTGCAAATGTCTAGTGAGAACATCCATGACTAAAGCAAAAAGATATGGACTTAAGGTTGATCCTTGATGCAATCCAATCGAAATAGGAAAATACTTAGTCAAACCACCTTGTGTTTGAACACAAGTAATACCTCCTGCATAGATATCTTTAATGATTTGAATATAAGCGTTATTAACTCCTTTCTTTTCAAGAACTCTCCACATTACAAATCACTTAATTGAAAGTCCATTCAAAGCTAATAGCACAAAATCAAAGTTGGCATCACATTGATGGGTCCCACATACAATTCATATGAAGTACTTAAAATAGCCCTAAAAGACTTGTTGATACCAACTTACTACGTATTCGATAACTCATATGTCAATTATAACCCAATTCTACAGTCATCTATAGTTGCCGACTTATTTTTTTTTGGCTCTCTTTTATTTATTTTGTGCAGCCTGATACTTAGAGATTTTACAACTTCAAGAAAAATATTCCATATAAAATATATGAATTCATAGCATTCATAAAATTTGGTGGTAGGCCAATGAAAATATGGCATCTAAATAATGAAAACATGTTAACATTAGGGTCATCAACCTAAAATAGTTATTGCGGTGAAGTGGTCGTAACGATATTTGAGTAATTAGTATTATCATGGTGTCCACATGATAATTTACTTAGTCTTCTCTTATAAGGTTGTCTCAGGATCCACCAACACCCTTGTTATAGAGCTAGTACCTTCATGGTGTCGATAACTACCATTCCATAAGATTATTTACACTTAGATTCATCTTCTCCAATCTAGTATTATTTTTCATTTAATCGTATAAGGTTGTGGGATAAAGGCTTGTTGTTGTTGTCGTATGAGGTTGTGCATAATGGTCAATTATGTTATACTAGCAATAAAAATATATGTTTTAAGAAATCATTTATAAAGATAGATGGTAATAAATCTCTATATAATTCTTTATATCTCCTCCCTTAAGTATAGATGTGAAGGTTGGTCGCTGGTTGCTCGAGTTAAGTTGTCAATCTTTATTGTAGCACGTTCTTTGCTCATCACCAATGCTACAATAACCTTTCCTTCTCAAACCCAATTTTATAGAAATTGATCAAGATGTAATGGTTGGCGAGCTCAGGTGATGGCTCAAAGATATCAAGTCTCATTTCATATTGTATAGAAATCTTATGCATTGCTTTTCTTAATGACTTATGCATGTTGACTATATAAAAAAAAGGGGAAGATGAAGAAAATTCAAATAACTTCAAGAAGCAATGCTCCGGGTCAGTATGCGATCTGAGCTCATACTACCTGTGCTTGCACGTCTCTGCATCCCATGCACCGGCCCCACTTCATGAAATGATGCAACGCTCCTCACATAACTTCCACTTACATAATAAAACCACCATAGCCCATTCTCCTCATTCAAACACAAGCCCGCTCCCTTTGTCCCCCTCGTCTCTATGTGACGCTCACAGGAGTCGAAACCCCTTCGCTCGCTCGATTCCACCGTGCAGCCCAGCCTATCCATGAAGACCTCATCCACCCTTGTTGCCTCTCACATGCACAACTCCATGCGCAAGCCCAAGCCAGATCCTGCACCTATACCGCCGACAGTTCTTCGTTAATCCGATCACAATCCCACTCGAAACCTGCCCGGTTTCATCTGCTTCTCACAAGAAAACCAACATCCACGCCGATCGACCCCTTCCAGCTTAATCGAACACCCTCTTGTTTGAAATCATCCCTTGCTCCAACCGAATATATGCCCTATTTCGCATAAGACCAGAGATCCACTTTTTAATCAACCAAGTCTTTTTAATTTAAATTGGGGTTTGGACAGCGCTCTAGACCAGAGATCCACTTTTTAAGTTATTTTGCTTCTACAAATGAAATAAATGATAAGTAGGGCCGGTTCTTGTAGAATGATGTTGATCATATTGCAATCAATGGAATAATTATATTTTGATTCACTCAAGAGACGCTGTCATTCAATCTGATTTATCTTCTCAATTAAAAGAATTCATTTGATGATTTATGGCATGAACAACTTTCTAATGGAGTTTGCATGTCGTATTTGATCACTAGAATGTAATCAATCCATATTGAACAATAATTTTAATTGTCTAGTTTTCTTAGTGGTATGTTGCAACCATCCTAATGGTCTAACTGGCCCAATGTGATAGTCGCCAACCTTCCTATGGATTAACGTGCAGTCATCCTCTATTGTCAAATGACAAAACTCAAATGTATTATCTTATCAATGCTGAAGACTTATGGAACTAGCAGGATAATGTAGGCTTCATGCGAACTGTAGATTTCTTGGAAGAATCAAGAAATGAATCCTGGGTTAAGATTTTTTATAATAAGGACTTGAGAGTTTCTTCAGCTTTCAAGCATGCACGAGAATTAGACATTCAAGAATTTGGATTTTCAATGTAAACTAGCCTAGAGTTATGCAAGAGCATCTGGAGATGAAATCAAAAAGACCAAGATAAGGTTCTTTACAATGCAATCTATGATTCCAAAACACGAATATGGTTTACTCATGCAAATTTTGCCTTCTTGATGTATCTCAGAAAAGTTGGTTATCCTTGCAAAATCATGATGAGAGCTAGAGATTGAGTTGAGAACCTTGGGATATGTAGTGATGGAGATCTATTGGACGGACTCTGTTGTGATATATGCCAATGCATTTGGAGAGAGAAACTACCAAGCCATTAGTTGTGTGATTTGAACTATGATATGATAGAAATATAGAATGTTAGGAAAAATAATGTGAAAATCGGCTTAGCGAGTGTATCAATAAAAATATGAGAGAATTTTCATTTATTTTTCAAGACGTAAAAGAATTATAAACTAAACAGTCTATTTATAGGAATAGCTTCATGCCTTCTAATGATAATCTAATTAAAATAAGAAATAATGCTATTCTTATTGTAATTCCATTGTGCTTAATTAGGAATAGTAATTTTAAACTCTACCATTTAAATGCGGGTAAGGGTGAGCAAAATAAATCCTGAAGGATATGATCGGCCATGTATTGTCTAATGATATTTTATGCAAAACTCGTAATGTTGAAAGCTTCTCTTCATCTCTAGAAAATTCAGGGGATCTTCTGGAAAATTCTTTGATCTTTTGGAAGGTTTTGGTGGATTCTAGAAATTTAGATAATTTCTTGAACTCAAGATAATTTCAAACCCTCATGGTTTGATCAACTAGACTCGATGGAACTAAGTTAGGGGTTGGAGAGTCTCTCAGGTCAGAGTAGAGGTATTGTGTTGATGACTAATATAGGTCATGTTGCTTTCTTTTCCACTCCCTTCCCTGAATCTCATTTTGTTTTCAATTCCTGAGCGAGGTTTAGTGCAACATTTGTTGGAATGGAAGAGAATCCAAATTATATGAAGTTTTAAGTTGTTCTCAAATGGTTAGTGAAATTGGAGCATTAAATGTGATTCTCAACTATGATGAGCATTGATGCAGACAAAGGGGGGCCAACTCAAAATAAATCAATTTTGACTTCCCTTGAGTTTACAAGCTCAATCAAAATTGAGCTGAAATTTTAACTCATTTATGAGCTGGTCTTTAGTTCACTTATTGAATTAAGGGTTAGCTCATTATTAGCTAACATTTTAGTTCATAGTTATCTTTTAATTAATATACTTTTATTATAGTTTTTAATGTCTTCATTTAAGTTATCTCTTGGTTTTCCAAAAGGGCTTTTGGAATCCCAAGAATGTTGTTTTATTTTCCCATGCCTTGGTTCCTTGGCTTCCATGGTGGGCTTCTGTTTTCTGTGCCATGGCTCCTTGGATTTTTGGCCGGCTACTAGTTTTCTGAGCCTAAGGGTTTTCCCGTGGCTTTGGCGCCTTGGTTCCGTGCGGCCTTTTTGGTTCCCGTGGTTGCTCCTTCGGTTTCCTGAGCTGGGTTGTTTTTCCGTGAAAAGCAATAGGTTTTTTTATGGCTTGTAATGTTTGGAATTCCTATGTGGATTCAATGTTTTGTCTTCTGGTATTCCCCTTTCATACCTATAAATATGAGGGGTTATGTATTGTTTTAAAAGGAGAATGATATGTGTTTTTTGGAAATGTAAACCGGCGGATTTGCTTGGAGAAGCTTGTGAGCTTTGTCCATCTTCTTTTCTCATCCCCTCCGGAAATCTTGCGAGCTCTTTCCAACCTTCGTCTTGGCTTCTAATATCTTTCGTCTCTCCGCTAGTGCTACTCCATCTGTATCCTTCTTCTCTAAGTGAAGCAAGTTTAGGGTGTCTTTAATTTCGATTTGAGTTTGAAAGTCGTTTAATCTCAATTTGTTGTTGTAATTTTGTTCTTAAATTTCTAAGTCTTGATTTTATTTGAAATGTAAGAGTTTGTTCGTCTCATTTGACGATCTTGTAGTCGTTTGTCCGTCGTTCTTGTGGGCGGAGGTCCTCGGGTGCCCCATCCCCCGGATTTTTTGCCCGCATCAATCATGAAACGTTATTCTCAATTCTAATAAGTGAAGATGGGACTTATGAAGTGACCTTCGATATTATTTTTACGGTCTGTTTCAATAAGGTACCATTTTTATTTTATTTACTTGTCATTCATAGACTGGATGGTGGGCTCGACCTAAGCAGATTAGATCAAGGAATTAAATCTGAAGGGAGGAGCAGTGGAATGAGTAGAGAGGGCAGGAAAAGGGGTGGTAGTAGCAATAGTATTTTGAAATGCAAAATAACCCATGTTCTTTTTTCTTTTGACCTGTCATTCAGATATGAAAAGTACGTCAGATGCTGTTACCTCATGTAGATGTCGTCAGGCACTAGTTGATCAAATATTACCTTCATATCATCTTATATATTTACTTTCATTAAAAATTTAAGATTGCACCATATCAACTGTAAGGCTTTTAAAACTAAGGCATGCAAATTGTTCGCATTCTTTAGTTTCTAATTGTGAATCTAATTTTGCAGCAAAACTGAAGTCTTCTCTGGAGGCCCCAACTGGAGAAAGTTCTCTTCCTCATCCAACCAGCATGAGGTTTCTTGCATATGAAGAGCTCAAAGAAGCAACAAATAACTTTGAAACCTCAAGTGTGCTTGGAGAGGGTGGATTTGGTCGTGTTTTCAAGGGTGTCTTAAGTGATGGGACAGCAGTTGCCATTAAGAAGCTTAACAACGGAGGACATCAGGGAGATAAAGAATTCTTAGTTGAGGTTGAGATGTTGAGCAGGCTGCATCACCGAAACCTAGTAAAACTTGTTGGTTATTTTTGTAGCCGCAACTCTTCACAGAACCTCCTCTGTTACGAACTTGTTTCTAATGGGAGTCTAGAAGCTTGGCTCCATGGTATTCTTTCACTTGACCAAATTGGTTCAGCAAATAAACTTTGTTGCGAGTTTTTTGATTTATTGATTTTTTTTTAATTGCCTTCTTATTTAGGTCCCTTGGGAGCAAATTGTCCTTTGGACTGGGACACACGAATGAAGATCGCTCTTGATTCTGCGAGGGGACTGGCCTACCTTCATGAAGATTCCCAGCCTTCTGTCATTCACCGGGATTTCAAGGCATCCAATATATTACTTGAGAACAACTTCCATGCCAAGGTCTCTGACTTTGGCCTTGCCAAGCAGGCCCCTGAAGGCCGCACAAACTACCTTTCAACTCGTGTGATGGGAACATTTGGGTATAGTAGCAAACATGTCTCTAAAGTTTTTTTTTTTTTTTTTTTTTTTTTTTTTTTTTTTTTTTTTTTTTTTTTTTTTTTTTTTTTTTTTTTTTTTTTTTTTTTTTATCATTGCTGTCTTTTAGTTCATGATGGTGGTGAGACCTACAATGCTTTATGGTGCCGAATGTTGGCTATTAAAAGAGAAGCATAATAATAACTTAAAGTGTTGCAGAGATGAGGATGCTTAGGTGAATGATTGTCTTTACCCTTAGAGATAGGATACGAAATGAGCATATATTTGAAAAGGTTGGACTGGCGTAGCTCCACTGGAAGATAAGATTAGAGAGAGTCGACTTAGATGGTTTGGTCACATTAAACGGGGGCCTTCCGAGGTGTTAGATTTGACTTATGTTAAGAAAGATAGAGGCAGACCTAAAAAAACTTGGTTAGAAATATTAGATATGATATCACTTACATTAGATTTAAGTGAGAATTTAACTTTTAACATAACACAATAGCGAAAAAGGATTCATGTAGCCGACCCGTTGTTGTTGTTTTTTTCATTGCTTTCTTTTAGTTCATGATGTATAAGCCGAACTATCTTCATCTTCCAGATATGTTGCACCTGAATACGCCATGACTGGGCATCTATTGGTGAAGAGTGATGTATATAGTTACGGCGTTGTTCTGCTTGAGTTGCTAACCGGAAGGAGGCCCGTGGATATGTCACAGCCATCTGGCCAGGAGAATCTCGTGACCTGGGCTAGGCCTCTTCTTCGGGACAAAGATAGATTGGAAGAGCTCGCCGATTCAAAACTTGAGGGCAAATACCCATTGGAAGATTTCGTGAGAGTTTGCACGATAGCCGCAGCTTGTGTTGCGCCGGAGGCAAACCAGAGGCCGACAATGGGCGAGGTGGTGCAGTCGCTTAAGATGGTCCAGCGACTAGCAGAGTACCAAGACACAATGCCGACGCCATCGGCCCGGCCGAATATAAGGCAATCTTCGACTACTTATGAATCTGATGGTACTTCTTCGATGTTCTCTTCGGGGCCTTTTTCTGGTATGAGCGTGTTTGATAATGAGAACATTTCGAGGACGGCTGTGTTTTCAGAAGACCTGCATGAAGGCCGATGAGTCGGGGAAGCCGATGTTTGTATATTTCAATTTAAACTTTTGCCCCTGGCATTTTGGGTTTCTTTCTGATTTTGAAGGAAAGAGAAAGATTGTTTTCCTTTTGAATTTGCTGCAACAGATGATTTTGATTTACCCGATTCCTATTGGTTTGTTCATATCTCTCGTCTGAACATATCAATTGAGTGATGTTTTATAATCTGCTTAGATTGTGTTGTCATTGGGTATGTTATTTGTCAAGTGTTAATTTTGTTGATGAAATTTTGAAAATTGTTGTGCATAAATTGTATTTTTTTTGGGCACCAACATTACCCTCAAAAAAGAATGGCTATCCTATTTAAGGGCTTTGTAATATTTTTATAATATACATTTGCATCCCAATTTATCCTAAATTCATATTATAACTCAGTTCAATTTTTTAGTCTCGCATCATAGAAGAGTTTATAATAGTTGTTTTTCTATAATAAAAAATACATGCAATTTGTAACAAAATATGCTATATGAAATGGCTTACATGCATACATATTAAAAATTGGAATATGAAACACCTTAAATTGGAATTCAGAGCAAATAATAGAACTCAATTGGAGATTGACCAACTTTATCATAGTACCCATCAAACTACCTCCAGTATAAATCATCATAATTTCTTGCATTATCTTCATCGGCAATACTTTAACAACAATGTTTTAACTGCGGCATGAATCTACAACGATTCTTAGTTACAAATTACAATTACTGGCATATTAGCATGTGAATATAAATAAGATCCTGCTATGTTTAATGAACAGCAACCCATCCACGCCTTAGAAAAGTAGAGGAAAATTCAACTTTAGCAAGTTTTAACATGCAAATTATAGGAGCAGCTACAATTTCTGGGACATGGAAGAAATTGTTCAAATACAAATGTTCAAGCTACTTCTTAAACTATACATCCAAACATTTTTTTTCCAAAATGGAGAAAATTTTAAATGATTCTCCAAATATCTGGTTATATTTTTGTACTGAAGCCTTGCTCCTAGGATATACTTTTTTTTTTCTTGGTCACAAAAAATAATTCTCCGGGATATTGAGCACTGGTACTTCTTACATGTTTTATACCTTGGGACATTGGACAGCAAGGCCTTTGTTCAGCTCCTTGCGGCGATTGGCGTTTGGGCATATTTCCAGGCAAGGCTCATGGAGGGCACTGTCACTTGAACGGGGAGGTTGGGGAACTCCAAAATTGAACTGTGAATGTATGAATGTTTAAGTAAAGAATTTTCAAAAAGAGAAAACAGGAAAGAAGTTGGACTCAAAAAAATTAAATTAAATTAGAACATGCTTACTATTACGTCGTTCATTGTCTTTTGATTGTATTTGCTTATACATGGCTACAATGTTTTGGTATAATCAACAATGTTTATTCCTAATAGTTTCAATATGGTATTAAATCTCGATTAGTGCTTGCTATCGATCAGCCAATCCCTTCACACTACATGCATATGCCGTAGAGAAGTGCTATCAAGAGTTCTTGAAAAGAAAGGAGTTAATAACGCTTAGATTCAAATCATTAAAGATATGTATGTATGAGCTATTACTTGTGTTCAAACACAAGATGGTTTGACCAAGTATTTTCCTATTTCGATTGGATCAAATCAAGGATCAGCCTTAAGCCCATATCTTTTTACTTTAGTCATGGATGTTCTCACTAGACATTTGCAAGAGGATATACCTTGGTGTATGCTTTTTGTTAATGATATTTTTCTTGTTGATAAGACTGGAGAGAGAGTTGAAGGTAAACTTGAATTATGGAGGTCAAACTTAGAGTCTAAAGGATCTAAAACTGAATATATGGAGTGTAATTTTAGTACTAATAAAGCTAGTGAGGAGATTGTGACTTTGGGTGATCAAGTCATTAAAAGGAGTGCACATTTTAGATATCTTGGATCTATTCTTCAGAGTGATGGTGAAATAGAATGAGATATTATCAGCAGAATTCAAATTGGATGGTTAAAGTGGAGGAATGCATCGGGTTTATTATGTGATAGAAAAGTGCCTCTCAAACTTAAGGAAAAAATCTGTAAGATGGTGGTGAGACCTGCAATGCTTTATGGTGTCAAATGTTGGCCATTAAAAGAGAAGAATAATACTAAGTTAAGTGTTGTAGTGATGATGTTGCTCAGGTTGATGAGTGGCTTTGCCCTTAGAGATATGATACGAAATGAGTATATACATGAAAAGGTTGGAGTAGCGCCTGTGGAAGATAAGATCAGAGAGTGTCGTCTTAGATGGTATGGTCACATAAAACAGCGGCCTTCTGATGACCCGGTTAGGGAAGTAGAGGTATTAGATTTGACTGATGTTAAGAAAGGTAGAGGTAAACAGACTTGGTTAAAAAATATTAGAAATGATTTTTCATCATTAGATTTAAACAAAAATTTGACTTTTAACATGACACAATTGAGAAAAATGATTCATCTAGCCGACCCCACGTAGTAGGACAAAGGCTTGATGTTGTTGTTGTTGTGGTTGGACAATGCCAAACATTACTAAAAGATATGTCTGGTGATGAGAATTTGTTAGTGAGAATGGAGAGTAGAGAGAGAAAAAGTAGGCTAGATAATCTCCACTATCTCAATCAAAAAATACAAAAAGTATAACACAAGAGATCTAGAAAAGGTCTAAAGATCCAAGATCAAAGATCCCCCAACTATTCCTCATCACCCTTTTTAACAGGGCTGAGGACTATATGAAAGGATATATAGAGGAAAGTAAAAATATAGAATATCCAGAATACCCGTGCAATAATATATGTTACTCTAGGATACGTATCACCTCATGATTGGTTGTAGGAGGGAGAAATTGATGGTCGAGCGAGCTCAAGAGGGGCAAGTAGGCATAGGGTGAGTTTGTGGGTGAGAACGAGAGGAGATAGACTTGTAGCTAGAGAATTGTCCAAATTAATTGGCGAATGGCATAGGAAGTTCAGGTCGCTTTCTCGTAAAAGGCGAGTAGTGTAGCAAGGATGAAGAGTCCTTGAGCCTAGTAGTGGTAGCTGAATGGAGTGTGGAACCCCTAAGATAAATGCTTTTCTATAACGGAGTCTATCGAGCTCGGAGGAAGAGATTTTGACTGCAATGAGTGATCTATCTGTATAATGAGAAACTTCCTAGTTGCCCAGTTGCCGAATGTGAGTTAATTACACTCGTTGTTATCCTTGGGCGAGTTCCTCTCTGGTCCTAGGCAAGTCCCTAGAGGGATCTACTCCTAAGAGAAATGACCTTCGTCACAAACCGGTCACTACCTATCAAAATAATTGAGAAGGTGGTCATGTGTATATATTCAAGTAGATTGTTGTTTCATGAGAAATACAATTTAAAATACTGTTAAAAGAGTATATAAAAAAATAATTCATTATAATGAAAGAAAAATCATACGATAAAAATAGATAAAAATAGGTATTCACTCGCCCAAAATCACCAAAGATAAAAAGTCCATCTTGCTCATAATCACTTATCTAAGGGGACTACCCATTTAATTGGGGATACACTCACCCAAATAAAACGAATCAGTCATTCTTATCTTTACGCTCTTCTAATACCCTTCTGTATCAATGCATTTTACAGCTTCAATAATAAACTATTAATCCATTAAATGTGTTGGTTAGTAGGGGATAATGGTTGTAAAGTATAATTTAATGAGACAATTGGTAGGAGATATGTGATGTTTGGGAAGAACAAATAATTTCTAATGGATAGGTAAATCAAATTATTCTTTAAAATTCATCAACGGGCAGTGAATGCCATTCATCTTTACCTGGCAGCTATAGTCACTGAACTTTGGCTCCATATACAGCGGAATTCCCATGTAGTCCTTGAAGAAAGTCTAGAATTGCAATTAAAAAAAAAACCAATAAAATTTCTTCTCAAAAAAAATGAAAGAGGAAACATATGATTGTAAAAAGTAAAACTTTTAATTTGAATTACAGCTAGCCCACTTAATTTACTAGATCCATTTAGCTTCAAAAATTTATCATTGGATGCTAAGTTTTAAAAAGGCTTCATAGATGTTCTTAAAAAGAACCTATATGACATATTTCCAAACACTTGCTAACCCAAGAATAAACCTAAATGGTACCTACCAAAATATTAAAAGGACATGAATAAAATATTCTACCTTAAACACCAACTATATATAGGCAAAATGTGTTAGTTTTTACATACATAAATATATATAACAATCAAAGCGTGGAATGGAACTTTGTAAAGTAAAGATCTTTAGTTCCAATAGATTACTTCTGTCTAATAATATGCCCAATTTCTGATTACATTTTTTCTCTTTATTACTCTGCATCCGGGTAGTACAGACAGACCATTCTTCCGTAATTTTTATTAATACCAATGAATATATTTAATTAAACAGGAAATTCTTAACTAATGTTTCCCCATTTTAATGAACTTTTGTAGAATGATACCAAGCAATTCATATTATTACTTTATATATTTATATTATTATTTTTTTTCAATTCCTATCCAAACATTTTATAAAAGCAAATAATTAAATATTTTAAAAAAAATTATAACTTTATTATATAATCATCATTGCATATATATCTACAATTGGTCGTTTAAAAAGTACTCCAGTATGATGTAGATGCATATGAACCATAACAATATATACTCATTTTTTATAGAATTTATTGTCAATATTTTTCTCAAGTCATGGAGATTTTAAAATAAGTAAAATGAAATTCATATTATAAAGAATAAAATAAAATGACTATCAAAGGCTTCTCTTATCAAGTCAAATTGAAGGACTTCGGAGAAATGGAATTATGTGTGATTGTGTGAAGACTTTAATACATACACATGGATTGATAATAAAACATGCAAAAGTTGAAAGGAGAGAAAGTAGGCATCCCTCGGAACATGAACTGGGACAGTTTACGCGTTGAATACATCCAATCACACTGGTAAGTTTAAAAAGATGAACTTCAACTTGTTCTTACATTAAGGAAGATACTGCGTATAAAAACATGATATTAAGGCGCAAGATCCGCCATATTCATAAATACAAACATTTATTATTGCTCGTTAATTAACTAAAAAGAGAAAAACTATAATAGCATTCTATCATGGAAAAAGTGAACATTAATATAAAGATTTAACTCAAATATATGGATTGTACTAGCCACTGACTTGAGTTGGCAGCTTGCACGTGTTTATGCAAATACCTATGCATTTACTTTCTTCCAGATATTTGCATCTCTCTACAAAGACCTAAAAAATTGTAAAAAGAAACAATCAGATTCAGAAAATAGCATATGCAATTATCAAGAAATTTAAAACCATGGGAATTAACATGAGATCAATATACTACAAACTGGAATTAAAATACCCCACTAGAGCAAGATGATCCATCTGGAAGATCAATAGAATTAACTGAAGAGGCTCCCATTAGCCATTGACAAGACCACGCAGTTACCCTTGCTTCAGGAAAAAAATGGATGAACATAAAACACTGAATGACCAGGTGTCAAGTATTTGCTTTATATATTTGTACGCTCTCTTCATTTTTGTCAATTTTATTATGAACCACATTCTTATAGAGCATGATATAGAAGGAGTAGCTTCCTTTAAATCTAAATTTAAAAGTTAAACTATTGATGAAAATTAGTAATAACTCACCAACCATCATCGAAGCCAACCTTCCACCGCCTATAGGTGCTACAAGCATTTTGAAAAGAACAAGTATGAGTGGTGGGAACAATGATTTCAGTATCCTAACCTGTCATCCGTTACAGGAGCTGTCAAAACCATTTCATGCTAAAGTAACATATTCAAAAGGGTAGGGTGGTTAAATCAAAGACAGCTACTGCAAAGTTATGATCATTGAATATATTTAATTTGAGAGAGATGTACTTTTCCCTTCTTATGAGTAGAATTAGTATCATCAATCTAATTAAAATTGATGTTATCACCTTCAAATGCAAGATGGAAACAATTCAACATCTTCAGCATCATTAAAATTAGTGATATACATGATATCAAGAGTTTTTAAGATCTTTTGGTCATTCATCGAATGCATCAAAATTTTATAATGGATAATTCTGATTATGTGAGAAAAAAAATCGTGATTTACGTTTATAGGATTTCAAATAGCTTAAAATCGAATGCATGGATTATTAATGATATATTGCAAGTAATTGAAGGTTTTAATTTATAAAATAAATGGACAAAATTACATTTTTAAAAGCGCTTCTATATATTTTCCAATTATCATTAAAATTTTCACAGGTTTGATGACTAATTAAATCATAATGAAAGTTTATGAAAATCAATCTCGACATATTTATTATGCCATAGATCATAATTAAAGGTGTGTTCTTAAGATTAAGGATAATATAAAACAGTTAATCAAAATAATTTTAAAAAATAATTAAATAGGGATTCCATTCTCCTCCTAAGGGAAGCAAAGTTAATCTTTAACAGCGTGTCTATGAAAATAAATAAACACACATACACTGTATATATATATATATATATATATTATATATATATATTATATATATATATATTATGAAATTATTTTTCAGATAAATGATAAAGAGGAAGGAGATTACTGCTGATTGTTCTGTCTCCAAATTGCTTCTCCCCTTCAGCATAAGGCGGTTTACAATTTCAATCAATCCATCATAACCAAGTTTCTCGGATCCCATCCAACCTCTACAGCTTTAAAAGAACGATTTATCATAAGGGATCATGAATACTAGCATGATTACTGCATTAAGCCTAAATGCAATGGAAGTTGAAACTTAAAGCATAACATGCAGCATGATTCAAGTCAATATCCTGTAATCCGTCAGCAATGACAGAAATTAATTAAAATCACAATTTCGTGATTTATTTAAAACTTTCGTGTATTCGAAACTCTATTGACAAAGGAAAGACGAAAATACGGATCTATGGAATCGAGTCACCTCCACCATTCTTTCTAAACAAATCAAGAGCAGTTCATTCACAAAACCAGGCTTGTATTCGCTATTCGTCTCCACATTCTGATTCGGCAATTGTCACCGAACAATTAACAGATAACTTGAAAAAATTTATTCCGTAATTAAGGGAAGAGACAATGAAACAAATCGGCTGAGATCTGACCCGTGTGCATAACGCAAGAAATCTAGGGTTTCAACGGAGTGTTCCTGCGTCGTCGAGGAAGGCGGCAAGAGTATGCTAGAAGTGGGCAGTTAAGCGCAGTTAGACTCCCATTGCCTGCGCGAACGGAACGACGCGAAGCCTCTAGAACTTAACTTGTGAGCGACTGATATTTAACGCGAAGGGCTCGGATAAGAAATTTCCGGGCTGTTTGGAGTGGGTGAAATTAATTTTAAAATAGTGATATTTGATTGAATGAAAAAGAAATATAAAATAAAATAAATACAACATAAATTATTTTAATTTATTTTTTGAGATAATTAATCTCTTTTAATTTTGAGTTGGAACCGTTTACACAAATAAATTCGCTTGACCGTCAACACCACTCATCGATGGAAGCTGCCACCCATCGTCGGCATCATCATCACCAGTCGCCGCCATCCACTGTCGTCCAGCATCACCACAGGTCACCACAACTTGCCACAAGCCACTATCGCCACAACCAACACTACTCGTTGTCAAATACCTGCCACTATATGGCCCGACACCACCCACCGTCAGTTGCCGCCAGCCACCATCGCCACCGCTCGTCAGCAACCACCTCTACCACCCACCGCCGACCATTGCCACCCACCGTCGGCCAGCGCCTCAGCCACCCACCACAGCTATTGACCATCACTGCCACCCACTAACTACCACTAGCGTAGCCACAACCACCACTATTTTTGAACTTTACACTATATTTATTTTACTTCAAATTAAATAAAAATAAAATGAATTTACTTTATACTCATTCAAACAACTCCAAAATATATCTTTTACACTGCAATCCTTTGTCACTGCATTCTTTTTTAAGCTAATCAAATAACCCCTTAATAATTCCTTAATAGTTACCTTATGGTATGGCTACAAATAAATCAACATGTTCAACAAATGTTTACCTGAATTAATAATTAATTAATTAATCAAATGAATTTGAATGTTTTAATAGATTTTAGCATTATTGAACCATGCCAGAAACTGCCAAAAAGCTTTTTTTTTTTTGGAAAATTTGGGGCCTAAGCCCATATATTACTATGTGAAGAAAAGGTTACAAGTAAATAAAAGATTACATGTAAAACTCCATCATAAGAAAGAACAAAAACTTATGAAGGATAGAATAAAAGTGAAACCCCAACTATACCACCCATTACAAAACAAAAACAATATAAGATCCCAAAAAGTGGAAATTAACAGTTAAGAGAACTTGAATCCTTGCAGCAGCGGCCAGCTTGAAGTGCAGAAGTAGTCCAAGTGGAAAAAGTTTCAGCTCCAGAAAATCCCAATGCCTGCATAGAGAAATAAACACTACCCAGCTCCCAAGCCAAAAAGACTGGACTCAGATAATCAGATATTAAATTAGACGGAGCCCTGGTTGCCCGAAGGCCGTCCAAGGGACCAGCTAAAGGAAGCTTCATCATTGTCCAGCCTAAGCTTTTCAGGCAAATCGAAGGGACGAGGGGACCCGATATTTTCTAGCACAGAGATATTCGTTAGCACAGTTGCACCAACCAAAAAATTTCCACTTCACAGAAACCAAATCCTGCCTGGTTAAATCATTTCCAGCAATTGAGAGGAGTCCTTCCATTTTAATACTTTTTCAAACACTACTCTTTTAATAAGTAAAGATAGCGTGGTAGAACTAAGCATGTTGTCCCCAAATCTCCTTGAGTTCCTTTCCTTCCATATGTAATAAGTGGTGCAGCAAATCATAAGTTTGTAAAAAAATTTAATCGAAGCCTTGCCTTTGTAAGTAGCATTAACCCAAGCAAAAAAGATGTAACAGACTAGGTCTTAGAAGCAGCCCGACAGTAACTGAGATAAGCTCGTTTAACACAGAAAAAGAGTAAGAGCACTCATAAAAAAGATGAGATACCGATTCATCAAAAATATGGCGTAGATTGCATCTACTAGGCACCATAATTTGCCTAATCCGAAGAGCATCAGCAGTTTTAAGGCCCCAACAAGAGCCATGCACACATAAACGTTATGCTTTAGGCAATTCCTTTTGTGCCAAACAGTTTTGTGCCAATTGCAGTTTATTAAATCATGGTAAAACTCCTCTATATAGTCTTTAAACTTGGATTTAGACCTATTCTTCCAAAGAAAACAGGAATCCTCACCATCAGTGATGGGCAGAAAAAGATTTGTGATTTGCACAGGCAAGAATTCAGGAAGCACCCAATGATCTTCCCTAAAAAAACGATCATAAAACATAGTTAGGATAATATACAACATTGCCCATGAATTCCTCAAGAGTGAGGTTATAACACCAGTGGTCCAAAAGAAGAGAAATGGGGGCATTTCTAGTAATTCTGAAGCAAAAGCAAGCTTTAGCATGAATAGCAGTCCTACTAACAGATTTCCAGAATTTAGTAGCAGTGTTAGATGGCTGACGCCAAGGAGAAGAGTATCTACTAATTAATCATGTAGATAGAGGAGAAGTAGAGTTGTATATTCTGAAAATAATAGAACTGCTAAATCCAAATTGCAAAGCATTGAAGGAAGGAACACCCATGCCCCCTTTATTCTTGGGACGACAGATTACATCCCAAGCCACCATATGCAGTTTCCTGTCCTGAGAGGAGTCCCTAAAGAAAAGGAACCGAGAGCTAGCTTTTTTTAGAAATTTAGAGATAGTTTTAGGCAAGATAGCACCACGAATCCAATCGCCTATTGTATTTTGAATAGTAAACTTGAGATATTGTAGTCTCCCAGCAAAAGATAACAGGTTCGCCTTCCATCCATTCATTTTTTTGTTGATACTATCCACTAAAGGAATAAAGTATTCAATCTTAAGTCTATGGAAAGACAGGGGAATTCCAAGATATGTGATCTTGTTCGTGATATTATGTATGGATAAGATGCTACAGATGTCTTGTTGGTTGTTAAAATGTTTAGGAAACATAATGACAATTTTGTCAAAGTTTATGTGCAAACCCATAGCATTAGCAAAATCACTTAGAATGCTGGCAAGGTTGTGACAATTTTGTAAAGTAGTCTCTCCAAAAATCAGCACATCTTCAGCATATAATAGGTGGGTGAGAGAAAATTTGTCAGCATATATACCTTTGAAACCTCTTTCCTCTAACAGGTTTGAAAAAGCATCCATCACCACACAAAAAAGATAAGGGCTAAGCGGGCATCCCTGTCTTAAACCAGTAGACGGAGAAAAATATCCCTCCAATGCACCATTAAGAACAATAGAAAAATGAACATCAGAAATACACATCTTAATCCAATTAACCATAAGATTGGGGAATCCTTTTTGTATCAATCTAGCTAATACAAAATCCATAGATACTGAATCAAACACCTTTATGATGTCTAGTTTAGCACAGAACAACTGGGTACCTCTCCTCTTGCTAGCAGAGGCAAGAATCTCACTAGCAAGCAGAATATTTTATGTAGAAATTCTAGATTTAACGAATCCAGATTGGGTTTGCTTGATAATGACAGACATAATTGGTTTTAACCTGCTGGCAATCACCTTAGCAATGATCTTGTATACCACATTACAAAGAGCTATAGGTCTATAATCATAAATGTTTGTAGTATTGTTGTGTCTAGGAATGATAACAAGTGCAGTGGCTTTAACCCCATGAGGAATGTACCCTTTGGAGAAAAAAGATCTGATAGCACTACAAACATGAGGTCCCACAATGTGCCACCCAGATTTAAAGAAGTGGAAGTTGAAGCCGTCAGGACCTGGAGCTGAAGAGGATGAGCCCCCAAAAACCGCAGTTTTAATTTCATCATTTTGCACAAAAGAAGTAAGCATATAGAAATGGAGGCACTGATCACATTCCCATTAGGGAATCCATCATCCATATCCTGAATGGAAGGAGGTGAGGGGTTTTACAGATCTTGAAAGTGCCAAGTGATAGAAGAGACAACATCATATATAGATGTTAAAGGAGAAGTAGCAAACAAGTTACCTGTGAGAGCTCGTTCCTTTGATTTGCCTTCCAAGATTTGAGTTTTTCACCCAGGATCGTCCGGGACGATATTGAGATCGTCCTGGACGATCAGTGCATTGAAGTAGCTGATTTTTCTGGAATGGGATCGTCCAGGTTGATTTTGGATCGTCCTGGGACAATCAGATGAGACAAAAATCCCGAGAGAAAAACCAAAATTATCGGCCTGAGGAATCGTCCTGGACGATTGAAGATTGGTCACATCGTCCTGGACGATGTGGCGATCGGCCAGGACGATCTCGTTTTGAGGAGAGAGAAAGATATTTTTATAAAAATCAAAATATGTGAGGAGAGAGAAAGAGAAGGAAAAGCTTGGTTTCGGAGGCCGCGGAGCGCTTTTCGTCCGACGCCGCTGTTGGGAAAAGTGTTTATCTCGTGGTAAGGACTCCGAATCCTATTTCTGTTTTCAGAGATATTGAGTTTTGATCGTATTGTGTACTGTTTTGTGTTTTTGTGATCAAAAAACGGACCCGGTTTTGTATTGACACAACTTTCACCGCACAACTTTTAATATGTTATAGATACGAATATTCTACACAATTTGATTATTTTCTGGAATGATTTCACCGATTATTTTGGGTTCTACGGCACAGAGTGACGACTCTTATTGAAACCAACGTATGGATATCTACAACAACAACATGGATTCTACAACAGCATAATAGCCAGTGTTTGTACTTGTTCAGTATTATTGTATTGAAGAGCATGTGTACAGTATTGACATATGGATTCACTGCTTTATTGATTTGATCGGATTTATGAATTTACTGTATCGTACGATTTCACTGATTTCATTGATTGATCACTGAGCATAAATATTGATATGGATGAATATATATATTTTATTGATTCATTGATGCTATAGACATGGATACTATAGATTTATTGATATTATTGCTTATAGATTCATTGATACTATTGCTTCTGCACCATATTAACCTACTGCATTTGATTCATTACTAGTATAGACTGAGCTTTATTGTATTACTTTTCTATTGATTTCATTGATTAGATAATATTGATTTGATCAAATGATTCGATACGATTGATTTGATTGATCGATTGATTCTCTTCTGTGTACGGATTCTTCTGAGATTTGACGTATTGATTTATTGAGTTTGATTTATCGATTCTTCTATCGTTGTATCGACGATTGATTTCATTGACTATTGATTTTCGTATTGCATAGACTCATTGACCATTGATTGTTATGGTTTTGATTGACTGACATGCATATTGATAGCAGTACCGTGCTTTGATTTCAGTTATAGGTATTAGGTGACCTGCTGGGCTTTTTGAAGTTCATTATATGTGGTTAATATTTTCAGGTCAGGGCAAGGGAGCAGGAGACTGAGGTTGATCAGGAATCTCCAGGTTTTTGTTCTTTTTTATTATAGTGATTCTTTTGTACTCAGGACATGATAGATTTCAGTTCATAGTGTAGTTCCTGAGTATTGTATATGATCTTTTGAGATATGAATCGACCTGTACATTGATGTATTAAATGTTATAGATTTTTGCTAGACTGTTTTATTGAGGCTATAGATATCTCTGGTAAATAGTTTTAATGAATTGATTGAAATTCTTTCCAAGTTAGATCTTGGGGCGTGACATTACCCACTGACTTGGAGCTCCCCCTCCTACATCTAATTTTACCATATAAAAATTTGAGGTCATTCTCCCCATATTTCAACTAATTCACCTTTGCCCTTTGAATGATCCATGAAGCATGCATGGCATTAAAATCCACAATATTAGCATTAGTAGCTTTTAAAGAAGAATTATACATTCTGTTGTTATGATCAACATGAAATTTGTCCAATAAATCCCTTTGGGTGATAAGCAAGGAGTCCATATGCCTAGAAACAGAGTTGAAACTCGACCATGACTCTTTCTTTATGTAAGATTTAACATATTTAAGAGTATTGTAGAGATGAGAAAGAGGGTTACCAGATATCGGAACAGAGAAGGTCTCTAGGAGAATAATCCAATACCTATTAATCTTAGACTAATAATTTTTGAAAAGAAATCTGTACCGACCTTGATTGATCATACCAAAATGAAGAAGAATCGGGCAATGGTCAGAACATGAGGGACTCTGGACAGAACTGAAATAATCAGGAAAAGTTTTCAACCAATTGTCATTCACAAGAATTCTGTCTAGCTTAATGTAGATAGGAGTATCAACCCGGTTATTGAACCAGGTGAATTTGCTTCCAACCGTTTGTAAATCCATTAGACTATTAATAAAAATCATATTAAAGTCAAAAAGAGCAGAATGGTTAAGAGAAGAACCCCCCAACTTTTTTGAAGCGTATCTGCAACAATTGAAATCCCCAAGAAGCGCCCATGGTGTATCAGCAGCAGGGGAAAACTACACAAGAGTATCCCACAATTCTTTCCTTTCCAAGGCACTATTAGAAGTATAAATAACCGATAGCTGAAAAAGAGTGTGAGAGGCAACAGAAACAATACCAGAGATGACTTGAGAAGTGATGTGCGTGGGATTACAATTCATTTTAGAAGAGTTCCACTTGATCCAAATCCTCCCCGATGAAGACAAGTTGAAATTATGACAGCTATTTTCATTCAAAAAAATGAAATGGGACTGCTCAAAGAACATGTCTTGAAGAGATTGAACATGAATCCTATTCTCCAATATGCATAACTTATCAAGTTTAAATGACTCAGAAATACGCTTGCAGTAAAGCACTTTGTCTGGACGGTTGAACCACCTAATATTCCATGCTGTTATGTTGGGAAAGAACATTAAGATTTTGAAGAATGGAGTTTTTTGGCCTGCTTCCCCTTAGCAGATTTTTTGGACACCACTGAATTAATCAATTTAGTTTTGTCATTTAGTTTTTTGCCTAGGAATCCTGGTAACCCGGTTTTCCAGATCATTAGAGGACTCCTCCTGAAGACTATTATCTTCCTCCTCCACATTTAAGACTTCAAATTTGTTGGGGGAATTGACATTCAACACCTTTTCTTTTGGCAGCCCGAGGGTGTGCAAAGGGCTAGTATTTGTGAAAGCAACCTCCTCCTCATTAGGAGAGTTTAAATTCGGGATGACAAGAATGTTGAGGTCGTTAGCTAGAGAATTGGTTACCATGGGATCAACTGTAGTGTCAGCATTAGTAATATGCTCTTGCATAATTTGAGGAGGAGGGGAATGAGGTTGGTAAAGAAGGGGTTGCCCTATACTGTTGTGGTTATGAGACACCAAAACAGAGCTAGAGGGAGGGGGGTTCGGAGGTGGAGGGTGGTGATGGTCTTTATTAGGTGGCCTCGAAAAATTTTTTGAGGAGGAGGGATTTATGTTTTTAGGTTTCCTATTATAGCTTCGCCCACGTTGTTTAAGATTAACAGCTGCCGAGACATCTTCCCTTTGAACTTTTGGTTTAGAAGGGCAGATAGAAGAGTAGTGCATAAGCGACTTATAGTGCTCACACGGTAGAGGTCTCCATTCATACTGAACCTTCAAGCAAACAACATCTCCATCCAGAGAGACTTTAATTTCTTCCGGGTATGTAGCATTACAATCCATCAGAACACAGATTCTAGCAAAAGTCAACCTCGTCTTTTGCTCGGTAAGGTTGTCAGTGGCAAGAGGAATCCCTATTTTGCTTGCAATCCTAGAGATTCCCTCCGAATTCCAGCATGCAAGTGGGAGGTCGTGAATTTTAACCCAAATAAGGACAAGCAAAGTTTTCCCTTATTGGCTTAAATTTTGGATGTCATTTTTGGAGGATAAATGGTCTTCCCAATAAGAACCAGACTCCCCGCGACCAAACCATGTCGTAATCTTCAGTATAAGAGAAACGAAGAAGAAAGAAGCCATCAGTTAGAGACAGTAGTTGGACTAAACCTTTAAGGCTCCACGTTTTCTTAATAGCTCCTAGGAGAGCTTCATAGAACGGTCTTCGGCCAATGGAGTAGCCGACCAAGCACAAGCTCCAATCTTCTCCCCCTTTTGACATGTTGTCATTAGTGAAGGGAACTATCTCCGGCTCAGCAGGGTAGTGGGAAAGATTGAGCGTTGTCGGAGTAGATGTATCAGGGGCGAAAATCTGATTCCAATTTTTTGGATTGAACTTAGCTGGTCCACCGGGAGACTGAGCGGTGAAAAATCGGAGGAGAGGAGACCAGCCTCCATTTGGAGAAAGGGGAGAAAACCCTCCGGCAACGCCGGAGAAGAGAAGGGGAGAGGAGACACAGATTAGGCGGAGAAGGGAAGCCCTAGCCGCCACGGAGCTCTCCGCTGCAGAATGCCACTTACTGGAAACCTTATTGCCACTGTAAGCGAAAGAGAAAGCAGTATACTGCCAAAAAGTTGAAGTTCTCAAATAAAAAAAAAAAAAACTGAAAAGGTCCAGATTCGTCTTTCAGCATGCGTGGATCAACCCGGACCAGCCGGTTTTAGAAAACCAATTGCCTCGTGCGGGCGGAGTCCTAAAGGGCTGTGGTGTCAGTCCAAGCTGCAGCTGACGCTCAGCTGATACCACATGGATAACTGGCGTGGCCATTTCTCGGCCACCGTCTAGTCCCCAACTAGGATAGTTTACTACTGTGAATCTGTGATTTAATTCCCTTCTCTCTTAAAACCCCCGCCACCACTCATCGGTAAGAATTGCAACTCTCGTCAGAATGCAGCTCTTATCACCTCCGAAACCCCAGATCCCTCCCTTCACCCCCTCCCTCTTTACAAGTCATTCTTCTTTTGCTAACCCTAATACCTCTCGATCTCACGCCAATGTTCCGATCAATGGCCTTGCGACCACTCCCTTTCTCAAATTCCTTATGTTGTCGTCCAAGACCGGTTCGGCGTCGCCTCTGCAAGACCATATAATTTTCTCGGAATCCGAAGACGAGCAGGATGAAGTAAGGGTAGAGGAAGATAAAGGAAAGACGGATGAACAGAAGGAGGCATTGGAGGGGTTGCTGCTATCCGTTCGAAGGCCGGTAAAGGAGGACATTGAGTCTAAGGATGGCTTAAGTGGAAATGCTGGGGAGGATGGCTATCCTTCAACTTCAAAGCTTGACCAAGGGCTTTCTGAGTTTGCCAAAAAGATGCCCATCTTTGCGCCAGAGAGGGGAGTGGCGCCCGACGAGAGACCTCTGGGAATCAATTTGGAGTTGGGACTATACCGGGCCAAAGTTTTGAGTAGGGATTTCCAGCACAAGGAAGCTGAGCAGATTCTACAGAAGGTGATACACTGAAGCTCTTAAGTGGAACATTTGTAATTTGCATTTTGTGGGAAAGATTGATTGCTTACATCTGCCATTTGGACATATAAGACGAGGTATATTTGGTTCTGAATAATATGTTGATTTGAATTTTAAATTCAGCGGTATGGTGTAAGAGATTATCTGATTCTAATTAACGTTATGGAGTATTGAATAATTCATTAAAACTGGTGTAAAGTTAGGTTATGTTACCTTATATTAGATTTTGAACGAAGGCTTGTACAGTTGTCATTGGTTATTAAGGAATATCGACAAAGAAGTAAGCTAACTAAATAATTACAGTGAATGCGTGTATTCCTTTACACCTTACACTTTGGAACTCAGAACCTTGAATTTCCCCTGCTCCATAAATTTTGTTCGTTTATGCCTGGAAATTTAGTTTTAGCTAGGTTTGTCAGAACATCATTGGTCTAATTGTTTATTTGCAATTTTAAGAAATGGGTGGTTGATTTTTTTTTAAGTGAGAAGCATAATACTAAGTTAAGTGTGGCAGAGATGAGGATGCTCAGGTGGATGAGTGGCTTTACCCTTAGAGATAGGATATGAAATGAGCATATACGTGAAAAGGTTGGAGTAGCTCCAGTAGAAGATAAGATTAGTGAGAGTCGCCTTAGATGGTTTGGTCACATAAAACGGCGGCCTTCCGATGACCCGGTTAGGAGAGTAGAGGTATTAGATTTGACTTATGTTAAGAAAGGTAGGGGTAGACCTAAAAAGACTTGGTTAGAAAATATTAGGAATGACCTTTCTTTATTAGATTTAAATGAGAATTTGATTTTTAATAGGACACAATGAAGAAAAAGGATTCATGTAGCCGACCCCCCGTAGTGGGGTAAAGGCTTGATGTTGTTGGGTGGTTGATTTTTTTTTTTTTTTAAATTTTTTTAAATTCTGCACAGATAAGAGAAATTTCTTCCCATTTCATCGATATCATTATATTTCAGAGCACAAGTTTTAACTACTTTTTTTTCCCGTGAAAATTCCAACATAAACAACTTCAGCAAGGGAAAACAGCATAAGATAGACTTTTAAGGTGTAATCATTTTTTTTTTGGAGGTTGGATGGGGAAGGGAAGCATTTTTTAAGCGTAGTGGTTGGTGGGGGGAGGGTAGCTTTGTTTTGTTGTTTAACAGTTTTTATGATTCAACTTGTATGCTCTTAATATTTAATACTTATCTTTGTTCGCAGTGCATTTTGTTTTGGCCTGAAGATGGACGAGCTTATGTCGCTCTTGGTAAGCTTTTATGTAAGCAATCAAAATTTGCAGAAGCTAGGTCAGTGTATGAAAGAGGGTCCCAAGCAACACAAGGAGATAACCCTTATATTTGGCAGGTTTGTAGACATTATTTTATTGATTAACTTTTTACTCGATCACATCCTAACTACCTACTTATCATTTGTCTGGCTTCCTTGGAAAGCCTATTGCTTGCCTTTTGTGTAGCATGCATAGGTGAAAAGGTGCTTATGTGGACAACTTCTAGTGGTCAAACTGTTCTGTTTTATGTTGATGTGATGAGGCCTGCATTTGAGTATGGGTGAATTCATGAGATTTTGAGTCATGAATGTTCTGTGAGCTTGATAAATGAAGTGATGTTTAGCTTTTTTGTAGATATGCATTAAGGTATTGATATGGCTGTAGAATGATCATGTTTGTGACAGACTATTGCTTCTGTTTTTACTCAAGGGTTGAATCAGGCAAAGGATGTTTTAGTCTGCAATCTTCTAAGAATATTAAAGCATATACTGCAAAAGTTGTGGAAGTTCATCCCTTTTGTTGGGGAAAGGACATTTCCTCACATGTGCAACTCAGTCTATTATCCCTTCAAAAGAGCAATTGTTTTATGAGATCATTTGGGAATTTCAAAATGAATCATTGTTTTCTAAATGAATTTTTATTATGTTATAGCTACACTGTCTGCTGACCTATATTTTTGTGCTGAGCGTTGAGTTATGACATGACAAAAAGTCAAAAGGAGCTCTTGTTTCTCAGTAATAAATTCTCCACTGTTCATTAATTTGAGCCATGCTTGGTCGATCTGGAGGTTTTTAAGTCTTTTTTTCACGTCAATGGAGTGCAAAGCAACTGTTTGTCTTGTAGAAATGGCATCATTTTCCCTGTATGCTGTGCTTCATTTTGTTCCTCTACTTGCATGACTTTAAGGAGGGAAAATGCTTTCTTAGTTATGCTCCAAGTGTACCCAAAAAAAAAAAAAAACAAATTCTGGTCATACAACCAGAAATTCTTTTTTCACAATTTTATTTCCCAGTTTGATAAATAAATAATATAATGACACCTTTTTGAATTGAGCAAATTAACAGTAGGAGTGCCATTGTATGTTATAAAAGCCTTTCCTGTATGTCTAAGGCCTCATCAATATGCAATTGTAAGCAAAGTTAACTCGGAGAAAGTGCTAAAACTTGTTAGCCGGTTGCCCATGACACTCTTCAGTCAGTTACCCATGGCACGAATGTGACTCCTTGAATTTGTAGTGAATAACTCAGAACCTTATATAAGATAAAATTTCCGAACTACTTGCTAGCAAAATTGTTTACTGAGTAACTCAAATCCTTATTTCTGTTTAATAACCTGCATTTGTTTTTCACAATTCAGTTTATTTTTTTGGAATTTTATATTTATCCAATTGGTTGATATTCTTGACAAAACAGTGCTGGGCTGTCCTAGAAAAAAAGGTTGGGAATGTAAGAAGGGCAAGGGAACTTTTTGATGCCGCCACAGTAGCTGATAAGAGACATGTTGCAGCTTGGCATGGTTGGGCAGTTCTGGAGATAAACCAGGGAAATTTAAATAAAGCTAGAAATCTACTTGGAAAAGGACTAAAATATTCTGGTGGGAATGAATATATTTATCAAACACTTGCTTTACTTGAAGCCAAAGGAAATCGATTTGAGCAAGCTCGGTATTTGTTCCAGCAAGCGACTCAATGTAATCCTAAAAGCTGTGCTAGTTGGCTTGTGAGTGCCATTTTCTCTGCAAAGTCGCCAGCATCATCATAATTTCCCTTATCCTATTTATTTTGGGTCTGCCTTATAAATTTTCCTTCTCCTTTCTTTTTCTTTTGGTGTTACATTACATTTAAAATCTATTTTGTGCAAGTCTTCTACACACCTGCTATATTGTATTTAGTCTATCAATTTTCTTCTTAATCTCTAAACCAAGAATTCTATCCGCTTATTTCATTGATGAATCTTCTTGCCTGTATTTCGCATGTAGAAATCACCTAGTCTTATGTTTGGTACAGATGTTGATATTGGCGGAGTTGGTAAATTTTTTACATTATTTTCTTGATGCAGGCATGGGCACAAGTAGAAATGCAACAACAGAATAACCATTTGGCCAGACTTCTATTTGAGGTGAAATTTTTATTTCGAGGTTAATTTTATCACCTTTTTTTAATTCTTTGGAGTATGTTGCGGTCTCATTTTTATTTTCAAATCCTTAGAGCACAAGATATGTTAGAGCACATGTTACATTAGAGATTGCGGGCATGTCATCATATTTGTGTGCGTGTGTATATATATATCAGCAAAGCACGCTTAAAACATGCTGACCAACTTGATAATTTATCTTTTATCCCAGTCAAAGAGTAGAGGAACCACATATTGCTTCCCAGATATATTTTTTTTGGCACTGTGCACTAATTATCGTGTTGCTGGCATATCCCTATAGAGGTTATTTCTTAGCTGATTATATGGATATACATAATATCTATGATAGCTTGCCAAGCTGATCACAATTGTTTTCTTAGAAGTTGAAGTTCTGCTGAATGGAACTTGCGGCCTTAAGATGACAGAAACCAATCCCCACTTTAAAACAAATGAATAAAATGAAAAGAGTAATTCCGCATTTAACAATGAAAAGTCTGCCTGATATAGAGAAAGAAAGGTGAAGTTTATAATTGTGGTCCCAAATCAAGAGTACGTATGTAATCTTGAGTATCTTTCTGATGGATTGAATCATATATAATGCTTGCATTTGGAATGATGCAAATGCAATAGTTATTTAAGATGTAGGAAATAGAATGAGGAAGATTTCTTATTGGTTGTCATGGTTTGATTAACCCTCAGCGAGGATGAATCGTAAGTGCAAAGTATCTTGGAGCATTGAATAATAACTGGTGCAAATGTTTTGCATTTATAGCATTATGTTTGTCTTGTGAAGGATATGCGTCAAGATTCGACTCGGATACTTTAACTAATGAGGCGAGAACGAACAATCGGACATATATAATATTTCTTTTAATTTCAAACACAGTTTATTATTTTACATTCCAAATAAATTGAGGAGCCATTAACATAAACTTTTATCAAACTACTAATACAATTTTTTTCATCTTAACATTTACATAAATCATATATTACCTGGTTTCATAAGTGTGCCGTCTTTTATAGACGTACTCCCCTTTTTCATCCATTTCTACTTTTCTAAAGATTTACCTAAAAAATTATAATTTTACAATTTGAGCTTACAAAGTAATATAGCAATTTTACATACATAAAATAAATATTTTCATTTGACTTTCTTTTGCATATATATATAAATATATATATCATTTCCATCTCATATGACATAAATCTTTTATTTATACTTATCAAATAGCATATTCATTTTCTCTTCTTCATTTAATACAGGAGCACCGTCTAAATGTACCAATAAAGGTACACTTCATTTTCATTTAACATGCATGGGTACATTACATCCCCAATTTGTCACACCCCAGTTTGACTCACCCTCTACCACGAACTGGAGTATAACTGAGAAAGATTTCAACATATCAAACTCCACTCTTAACAACAGAAAGCATGTAATATTACTTACTGAACCTCAACATAATTAAAACAAATACAGAGCTTTACTAAAACTTTTAAAATTCATTCACATACCCAAAAGTCTTTACATCTAGCATTCAGATCTCGCTTTAGATCTCTTTCACCCCAAAACGTACTTACATTAAAAGAACGGTCACCTCTTTTTATTGTCACAAGGGCTCCTTCCCCTTTCCTGCAGTACAACCACTGCTAATGAGCTTGGCTCAATGAAATACGCAAGCAAGTTATAAGAAATAATAATAAACCATTAAGAAATAGCATAACTATGCTAACATAATTAAAACACATATTGAAATATTATATTGAGCCTGAAAGTGCCTAGCAGTATTATTTATCACCAAAACTATTCCACATCTTTAAATAAGTTATAGATTGGCTATAAGCTTTTGCACCATTCAACTTTTCAATTCAAGGTTGGGTCTAATTTCCCAACTTTTAGAATGGAAGTTGTTCTCATCATTCAGAGTTGAGCAAAATTTCTCAACTTCTAGAATTAAGAGTTAGCTTACCTTATCAGGTCTTTCGCCTTACTTGTGCGGGTCATCCCCCATATATAACTTATTTCACTTCAATATATCATCCTTTTAGAGCTAATGTACATATGCTTTTATGATATAGTTCGCTTAGCTGCTTTTCCAGTTTACCTTATAGTTTCCTTTAGATGCCTTTAAACTCCCTTTAGTTGTCACTTTAGGTCGTGTGCCCTAGTGCTTAGTGCCGCTTTAGGTGCGCTTTAGGTGCCCTTAGTCGCTTTTAGGCCCTTTAGGTGCGTTTCTGCCCTTTAGTGCTTTAGTGCAAACTTCACTAGTTATAATATGTACCATTTAATGCTTACAAAATATCACATTGCAAAGATTACCCTTTACATAAACACATTTCATACATTATACAACCATATTATACAAAATTAATCAAAAAATCAACTAGAATACATGTGATCATAAACATAATCAAAGAAGAAAAATCAATTAATAAAACATTTACTAAATTCTATAATCTTTTTGGGTATCTCACCTCGTATCTCGATTCTTCTCTTTTCCTTTTGTAAACAACCCTCACTAAACTTCCTCATCAACCACCAACACCTTTTTTCAAATTTTGGTCACTCAACTGTACCACTTCATTCCCATATTCTGATAAGTAACCACCACCTTCAAGCCTATATTTTAAGAAATTCCAAATTTAATTCAACACAAAGATTACAAAATTTCTAATCTCAGATTTTTGAAAGCTTAAACCCTACCTCAATTTCATTACATGATAAATCAGCTAACCAAGCTTGAAATTCCACACAACCACGCTCTTTCAACCTCCAGTTCCCACGGCTTGCAGAGCTTCTCTCTGAATGGAAGGAAAAATTAAAAGTGAAAGAATGCTACAGTTAACACCCCACAATACCCCTTAACAGTACAGGGAGTATTACTGTCATACGAAATTCATAATTTGATCAATAGTCCCTTTTAATACCTTGATAAATTTTTAATAAACATTTAAAAGTTCTCATCATCTTTTTCAAAACGGAAGGCACTAGTTAACTATAAATTTTTAACTTAAGCATACTTACATATCCATTAATCAAAATTCAAAAGTAATACACTTATTGGTTATATAACCTACTCAAGTTTAAAAACATTAATAAGGATAAAAACTAACATAACATAAACTTATGGAATAACTTGTCAATTTAATCTGCTAGGATCTTCTCTTTTCCTTTTCTGTAAGCAAAGCCAGTAAGAAAAATACTGGTGAGCTTATTAGTCTCAAGTAAAGCATTGCAAATTAATTAACCATTTTAAAGTACAATCATTGAAAATAATTAAAACATTAAAATCATCAGAAATTCATAATTAACTTTTAATATTTACTTCTTATGAAAATTTAACTGAATATCAATTTTAAATCTATAAAAGATTTGGCTACACTTTCTTTTACATTAAATTCAATGGAGCCCAGTAACTGGCATTATCGCCATTGAATTACCCATAGAGGTCCTTTTGCCTCTTTAGGGGTCCCTTTTGGGCCCACCTGCTATGCAGGTATCATAATCTCTGGGTCCCTTTGCCCACTTACAATGTACGTTTCTATAATGGGAACCCTTTCGTCTCATCTAACATTTAAGTTATACTTCAATTATACCCAAACTTTACTTTTAAATTGATATTCACTAAACTTTTCAGTATACATAAGTTGTTGCATGCTTCATAATCATTTCTGTTCTAATCTGTACACAATTTAAAATGGCATACCATATGCAAGTAAAATTAACATCTTTCCAAAACAGTATTAAAATATGGGGGGGGGAGGAAAACATTTAGATGAACATATTAAACCTTGTTAACACTTACCTGTTTTTATTAATGCATCAGTGTTATTCATACCTGGAAGCTTAGAATTAAAATCATTTTCTATACATTAAAAACAAATTTAATAAACATTTTACTTTAATTGGCTTCATAATTACCTTCATAGCTTAAAATGAAAGTTTCTTATTAAATTTTGAACATAAATTGCATTATCTTACCTCTTTGAATGATTTTCCGCTCAGTTTTTCACCTCTCACTCTTCTTCTTTAATAAACTATCTCCACAATTCACCTCTCTGCATATAATAACCTGATGAATCCTAATCATTTCCTTGATATACACTTCTTTAGACTTTTACCATTACATAATTGATCTATAAGACAATCATAAAACCTATAAATAATAAATATATTACCTCAAATCTTCTTCTTTTATTCACTTTTAAACTGGATTTTTCTTCAATGAATTCCCTTCCTAAAACTGCTGTAAGGAATCTGAAATTCTTAAAATTATGCAAAAATTTTCTAACTGCTCATGTTAAAATTAATCAGCAACATCACTTACTCACCTAGGCTGCCCATTCTTCTTTTCGAGTCAAATGAAGCCAGCCTTAAAAACATCTCTGAAATGTGCAGAATCAGGGATCCAGACACAACAACCGAATACAACTATAAATATCAGCCCTTTTTATTCACCGATTTTTCCTACAAGGAATTCCTAGCACAGACCGATCTCATGCATTCCAGACCGGCCTGCGCGACTTCTCCTTTCATAACTATTAATAGCCTCCTCTCACCAAACAAAATTTTCAACTCATCTAAAATCGTGAATTGGCCTTCCCATCTTCCCAGGAAACGTCCGCCCTCCCCTTATCCAAAAGCAAAGAAACTGAAAACGGGCCCGACCAAGCAACCAATTGTCCAAGACTTGCAATCCTTTCAGACCTCTAATAATTTAAATAAAGTTTTCTATTTAATTTAATATATTTTAAATAAATTAGATCAAACTAAATTAATATATTAGATAAAAATAAAAATTTCTTACCCGTCATTTCAGAATATTACAATCACCCTCCTTATAGAATTTCGTCCACGAAATTCAAACCATTTCATACATCTTCCAAACAGATGAGGAAATCTCAAGCTTCAATTTCCCTCTTCTTTTTTTCCCCAGTTAGGTTGTTTTATCGATCTATTCTTCCATTTTAAAAACATTTGGCAA